AGTGCTAAGAATTGTCTCTGTCTTGTATTCGTCAAAGTTTCCGCCAAGTCGACTTGTTCTTCGCGATTATGAGTTGCAGCTCTGTGTTCCAAAAAGGAAAAAAAGAGAGAAAAGAAAAACAAAACTTGTAACTTTGTCATTCTAGACTGCTAAATGATGGTCAGATTCTGCTCAACCAAAGGGGGGCCAAAGGAGGATGCGTGGAAGAAATTACCGTAAAGAAATTTAGACGACGACTTGGTAATGAAGACCAGGAAAATGGCTGGTGCTGTTTAAGACGAAAAATGGGAAGAACTAACTGTGCAAAGAAGTTGGTTTTGGCAAAATAATGGATGTCTTTTTCAGTTCAGACAGAGTGCCCCGAGTAAACTGCAGTTTTACTATTTCGCAGTTACTCTTACTTCTTTCAACATTTTTGGGCATTATACTTTTTAGAAAAAAGTTTTTGCTGTATTTATCTGTCTAGCGGTATATGTAATTTGCATATTTGTATTCGGCTTACAAGACCTAAAAACGTTCTGACACAAAACCGCTATTGATATGACCTTACTGGTAGCTAGAATTTGTTCTTAACTTTTAACCATGCTTTGCAGTTTCAGAGGCAAAAATCTGATAATCTCATTCTGTTTAGCCACTGCTGTATAAAGTTTGCTTTACCGCTGCGCTGATTTTCCTGTTTACTTTCCGATTTTTACTTTGTGCTTTAAAATCTGATTTCTATCAGAATATTAAAAGAGTAGCTCGAAATGATGCACCTTCATCAAATTTTAGTAATCGAGTGTGGCCTAAAATCAAATTATTATTCATTTCTGAATCTGATAAAAATTTGTCGCCGAAGCTACAGCCGCGAACGTTTAAAAGTAAACATTTCTTGACGGTTTACATTGCAGTTGAAATTCACTCGCTTTGTAGTATAGCGATTAACACTTCTTTTGTACAGTTACGCAAGAGACAAAACAAAGGGCTATATACAAAATGTAACAGTCTTAAGTTATTCCAATTTTAAATACTTCGTCATCTCCGACTTCCATTTATAATATACTGCCAGGCGATCAAAACCATATTCAAAGAAATCGTATTTCGCAGCATCAACTGGGAAATCTTCAGCTTGCTTAAAAGACCATATTGACCA